GAAGAATAGTGCTATTTGTTTTTTTTTGTTTTCTTTGGTCACTTAACCTTTTTTTTCTCGTCCTCAACCACTTCCCAATCCCCCCCCTTCGCCGAACAATAGTGCTATTTGTTTTTGTTTTTTTCTTTGCTGACTTAGCCTTTCTTTTCTCGTCCTCAACCACTTACCGCATCCCCCCTTCCGCGGAAGAATAGTGCTATTTGTTTTCTTTTTTTCTTTGAGTACTTAGTTTTTTTTTCTCGTCCTCAACCACTTTCCCCATCCCCCCCTTTCGCCGAAGAATGGTGCTATTTGTTTTCTTTTTTTTCTTTGAGTACTTAGTTTTTTTTTCTCGTCCTCAACCACTTACCCCATTCCCCCCTTTCGCCGAAGACTAGTGCTATTTGTTTTCTTTTTTTTCTTTGCTCACTTAGTCTTGACTCACACAAACATTATCACATAAGACTCGTCCACGAAACTTCACACGAACAGTCTGAGAAAGGTACAACAAAAAAGTAGTTCCGCCCATGACAACTTGACGAGAGGAAGAAAGTAGAAACAATGACCTTGCACAAGCTTCCGAACATGATATGAAATTGATAAAACCATACATAGGCCCTCGCTGCACTACTTTCCAAATGTGCAAATTGAGAATGGATTCTCCGCTAAAACATGGAAATATAGACCGCCATATATTTTGTCTTTTGTGGAGAGTAGTGCAGCGAAGACCACCTCTGTCCTGTTCTTCGAACTCTGAACACCGACTTTCCTCTGCGTGTGGACTGACAGCGCTCCTGGGGCCAAGTCCCACTAGCAGCGTTCGAGTTTCCTCGACGACCGAATTTGGACGTATTTTTGAAGATGTGCAGAAAATCCCTTCGAGCGTCTCCATCCGCACCTCTCCACAAACACGTCCAGATTCGGGCGTTGAGGAAACTCAATGCTGCCGGTAGGACATGACCCCTGAAGTCACCAGGAGGCAACCCCTCTCCCAAGCCTGTGTATGGTTCGAACTACTACGCCATGGACTAAAACGAGTTCCGTAATAGGCGGAAAAAAAATCGTACTTGCAGGTCACTCTTGCACAAAGTTCTGAAGAATTTTTCAAGATACCTTGAGGATGTCCTGCTTCCAAGAGCATGCATAGAATTGAAGCGCACACTGCAGCACAATGGCTTGGCAGCGGAAGTGGTATTGAGTATTGGCGGAGGAAAGGCACAGGAAGTACTTTTCTCTGATGCACGGGTGGTATGCGAGCGAGGGTGATGGACAGAGGTTTCCAGCCGCGGGAATTTGCATAAAACGTTAGGCAGCGCTTCTCTCAGATTAGCAGTTGGTATGTGAGCAAGGGGACTTTGCATAAAAGGTCAGACAATGCTTCTCTCTGATGGCAGGGTGGTATGTGAGCAGACACGTTGGATAGAGCTTTCCAGCAGGGGCATTGGACAAAGGCGGACAGAGGAGTGGTCGGTTTGCGATGATGCACAACAAGAATAATTAGGTTGTCCCTGCTCAGGACGGAGCTGCGCAGCAGAATAGCAGAGACAGGACAACTTTTGGCGTGGCCCAGAGCGTGAAGACATTAGCAGCTGTTTGTACCGAACCAAGAGTTCCAGTGGTCAGCATTAAATTGATTAATCAGAAACTGTTACTCGTGGACCTTGATAATATAACTGAAGAGAGAGAGAGAGAGAGAGAGAGAGAGAGAGAGAGAGAGAGAGAGAGAGAGAGAAAGAGAGAAAGAGTTGAAATAGACAATCTACATCGTTTTTAATTTTATTTTGTACCAGACTTAGCTCAGGTATTCTTTTCGTCACTAGACTTATGGCGTAATTAATCTTTCACATTTTTTAAGGAGCTCTGGTTTAACACGGTCTGATTTGACAAAGTATAGAGTCGGCAGATGTACTAAGGGGTTTTGGGCTCTGATTGCATGAACTGTTATAGCTTAAAGAGACAGAATGAAGGGGTAGTTGAGAAATCTATTGGCTTAAGTTCTTTGAGATATGATTTTATTTTTTATATTTGAATATCAAAATTTACGGGGTGTTTTTCAGCGCCGAGTTGTTTTATTTTGATAAATCGTGTGTGCCTGAGAAGTGCAACTCTTTTTAT